AATCAAAGGCCCGAAGCACATTTAGGAGGCTCAAATCATAATTTGGATTACCAAACAGTTTTAAAAATGGCATGCTTATAGTGGAATCGAACGACTTGACAAGAAAATGACAATGAGCCTAAGATCGCCAAATTTTGATATCATTAAAACATTCAAATGCCCAATAAAAAGTCCACGATCAAGGGATTATACATCGGTCGTCCATCCAAACCACACACAATTTACCATTAATCTTCCTCCTATTTATGGGTAATGCCACTCTCAGAAATCTATAAATAGAATCCTCACTTCTCAAAAGAGGGGTCCGGGAGGAAGAGAAGGAATCTGAGATTCTCTCTTGCCACTCCTCCTCGATCATTACTCGGACTTCCGTCGGACCACCAACTAACGCTGAATTTTTGCCAGACAACCAACTGATGTTGAATTTCCATCAGACCACCAACTGACACCCGAACTTCCGTCGGACCCCCAATTCACACCAGATATCTATCGAACCACCGATTGACGTCGGAGTTCTATCAGACCTCCAACTTTCATCGGATTTACACTCGATCACCAACTAACTTCTAACTTCCACTTATCTTCCAATTATTGATGGAGTTCTAATTGACAACTGTCTTTATGATCGCTATCACCCACCAACTACTGTCCTTTCAACCTCTGTCGTCTGATAACGATCTTTCCGACCTACGTCACCCACTGATTATGGTCCTTCCGATCACCCTCACCCGACTATGATCTTTCTAACCTTTGTCGCCTGACAACGATCTTTCTGACCACTGTCACACACCGACTATGATCCTTCCGACTTTTATCTCCAAACAACGGTCTTTCCGATCTTCATCTCCATCCGACTATGATCCTTCTGATCACCCTCACCTGACTATAGTCTTTCTAACCTTCGTTGTCCGTTGACTACGGCTTTTTCGACCTCCGTAGCCCGCCGACTATGGTCTTTTCGACCACTCTCACCCGATTACGGCCTTCCAACCTTCGTCGCCCGCCAAATACTGTCCTTCCAACCTATGTTGCGTAACAACGATCTTTTCAACCTCTGTTGCCCGCCGAATAACATATTTATATATTCTTAATCTTTGAATGAACAATTCAAACATTTTGAAATATTTAAATGATTAAGTCTTATTTCTACCAATATTCAATTTTTGGTATTATAGCTTTTCTTCTGATCACCCTCCCTTATGCCTTCCTCCACAAGTCACACTATGACAACATCTCCATGCTAAAAACACTAAATACCTCTAAGAATCTCATTAGTTAATTCCAAATGGAGCAGAGATTTTCATTATAAGAAATTATTGTTTTCTTATGAAAGATTACAATTAGGATGGATTTAGAAGCTTTTGGATTAGTGGTGAGAATTATATACTATAAAATGTTTGTATATAACACTAACCTCAAAACAAATAGAATGACTTCAAAGCCTATTCTACAATAATTTTTTTTTTTTCATTTTATGAGGAAAAAATTATGTCAGAATATTCTAATGCATATTATATTATGAAGGATTTAGAAATTATTGCATTTTATTTAAGATTAGTGTAACACAAACTCTTAATATACAACACTAATCACAAAGTCAATTCAATAATTTTTAGGTCTAATATTATGATATAATGTATATCACGATTGATACGTTATCAAAAAATTATCTTGATCGGGAACGAATCTCGATGCAAAATCAAGTTGTAAACTTCTAAAATTAAAATTGGGACTATCCGAACTCCGATTTCAGCAAACTTACAGTCAAACTAAACCTCTCGGAAATACGAACCTAACGACACCAAATTCGACTCAATCCGAGCCCAAATAAGTCCAAATCAAGGATCCAAACTGTTGTTGGAAGGTTTGAACCACAATTTGGATTACCAAACAGTTTCCAAACATTACGTGATTATAGTCAAATAGAGAGGCTCGACGATACAAATCCAACGAGCCCAAGATTGCCAAATTTTGACATCACTAAGACCTTTAAATGTCTGACGAATAGTCCATAATCAAGGGATTCAATATCGACCGTCCATGCAACCACTCCCCATTTGCCCTTGATCTCTCACATATTTAAGGTCATGCCACTCCATAAATATATAAATAGACCCCTCATTTCTCTTGAGAGGGAATCCAAGGAAGAAGAGGAAACAAGAAGAGAAGGAAGAAGCTCCTCCTCGACCACCGTTGGAGTCTCGCCGGACCACCACCTGAGGTCCTCGACCACCGCCAGAGTTCACCGGACCACCACTTGAGGCCCTCTCCTTCGTCGGACCACCACCTGAGGCCCTCACCTCTACTGGACCAGCACTTGAGGCCCAAACTTTTACCGGACCACCGCCTGATGTCGTTGCTCCGCAAGACCACCACTTGAGGCCCTGTGCTCCACCAAGACACCACCGGAGGCCCGGACTTCTATCGGACCATCACCTAACGTCTTTGCTCTGCCGGACCACCACCTGAGGCCTGGACTTCCACCGGACCACCACCTGATGCTCGGAGTTCTTCCGGACCACCACCTGAGGCCCGGACTTCTGTCGGACCACCGCTTGACATTGTTGCTCCGCTAGACCACTATTTGAGGCCCTCACCTCTGGTGGACCACCACTTGAGGTCTGAACTTCTGTCGGACCACCACCAGAGACTTAGAATTCCGTCGGACCACCGTCTGACATCGTTGTTCTGTCAGACCACCACTTGAGGCCCTCACCTCCACTGGACCACCACTTAAGATCTGGACTTTCGCCGGACCACCACTTGGCGCCCGGTGTTATGCCGGACCACCGCTTGAGGCCCCGCCTTCGCTGGACCACCACCTGATCCCCATAGTTCTGCCATACCACCACCTGAAGTACGGACTTCCGTCGGACCACCACCTGGCGCCTGGAGTTCTATTGGAACACCACCTGAGGCCCAGACTTCCGCCGGACCACTACTTGACGTTGTTGCACCACTAGACCACCACCTGATGCCCAGAGTTCTACTAGAGTACCGCTCTACTACAATAGTCTTTCTATCCCTGGTCTTCGATCAACTACGATCTTTCGAACCACTGTCTTCTTCTGACCTTCGTTGCATACTACGGACCTTTCGAGCAACATCGCCAGACAATGACATTTCTGACCCCGGTCTCCTGCATACTATAGTCCTTCCGATCTCCATCACCAGACAATGGTCTTTCCAACCTCTATTCGATCAACTATGGTCGTGCCGACTAAGCAAACATGTCTATATTGTAACTCCCACCATGTAATGCACTCTATATGATGTAGATTTGTACCATCAAGCCAAGACCTTCTCCCAATGAAGGGCCTCATTTGTAATCGACTGCAAATACTAGTGGATTCATTCAAATTTGGCTAGACCTCGTGGTTTTCCCCCTATTCAGGGGTTTCCACGTAAAAACTTTGGTCTCTTATGAATTCTACACCCTCTCTCTTATTTGCTTGTGTGATGGATCTTCGTACAATGCTAAAACACTAAACTATGTCTCTATCGCCGCGAATATTCCAGGACGCAACAACCATAGTGATAGAATACAAATAGAATTGTGACAAAATTGTTTGATATATATATATTATTGTGATTTTTTTAATGAAATAAGACTATTAATGATGTAACTAAAATTTTTTTAATCCTTATAGTTGTAAAAATATAGCTAAATGTGCTATTTTTAGTCACAAAGCTCTTAGCCAAATCTTCAATAATTACACTCTAAAAAATGTCATTAAAAACTACAAAAATGTGGTAGAAGTGTAACCTTATTTGCACTATTTTGAAGAAGAATGGGTACTAACGTGATTTCACTATAAAAATTTTTGGTGAAATTTGAATTATTTTTATTAAAAAAATTTAATGGACTTACGACGAAACATCGATGGAAAATAAATATAAAATAATTAGTAGCTTGTCGATAGAAATTTCATTAGTCATCAACAGATTTGACGTCAAAATTTGTTCAGTTAAGAAAATTTCAAACGTTTTACTTTTTATTTTATAATTTATGATGCACCAATACTCTGTCATAAAAGAGTATGTTAACACAGACGTGCGTGTGACATTCATCCAATGTATTTCGATCACGCTTGCGGCATGACCAAATTTATAGAAAAATTTAGGCTTCATTTGAGACAACTTTAGACCACTGATTTTTTATTGCTTTCAATACATTTTTGAACTGAAAAGTTAATTTAGAAAGCAATAAAAAATTTATTCCAAACAGAGCTTTAAATAACCATGTCTAGCTAAAGCCAAAGGGGGGCAATTGCACCAATTTTATAAAACTTAATTAAATATGAAATTCAATAAATAAATTAAACTAAAATTATTAATTTTTTTATTATTCTCAATATTTTTTCTAAATTTTGTTCTTTCTTTGTCCACCAATATAATTTATTAAAGTTAAGAAATTTTTAATCTATCTTTTTCCATCCAAGCAATTGTGTTATTAACAACTAGCATGTTTGCTGCATCTTCTAACCTAAAGAAGTAAAGAGTATTTCTACCCATCCGTTTTCACTCACTCTCTCTCTCTAAAGGATAAAATTATTTTTCAATATAAAATAAAATAATAATTCTTGGTGATAAAAAAACTGAGTATAAAAGAAATCATTATAAAAAAATAATTTTCGTCAATTTTTTTTAAAAATAACAAAAATATGATTACAATATAAAAAAATAAAACAGTATAAAACTATCACAAATTAATCCTAAGATTTTTAGTCTAATCATTAGATTTTTTTTATAGATGAGCACAATATAAAATTTAGTTTTTTATATTTGAAATTATTATAAAAAAAAATAAATTAATAATATATTATAATAGTTTTTAAATAAATATAATAATTAAAATTTATTCTGATTTAATAAATTTGAGGCAAATGCCCTTAAAAATATTTTTATTTGAAATAATTATTTAATTAGAGGGTCCAATAATCAATTCTTTCAGCGGCACGTCTTTTAAAGTTCCAACCGTTGAACGGAACGATCCCAAATTCTTCAAATAAAACTTCTTTTTACTAATTCAAAAGTTGACCATTCTTACCACAAGTCTACAAACATCTTTCTAATTACAAGATTCGGTACAACCCAATCACAACCGTCCATCCACCCTCATCTCTTTGCATCCATCATCCGTTCGAAATCCCCAAAACAAACAAAACCATCGCCGTCGGTATCGACGCCGACGATCATCCGGCGACAATCATCGATCGTGCATTCGCCGTCTCCGAGAGCTATAAAAACACCAAGAAGCTCCTCTGCCGAGATCTTTCCATCGCCATCGGCATCAAAGACAGCGAACACATCGCGGAGCTCGTCGCCGGCGACGGGTTCACCGAGCGCCGCAGGGACGATGACCTCGAGCTCATCCAAACTGATGCAACCATCGCCGTCGCGATCGATCTCCGCCACCATGGAGGCGAGCTCCTCCTCTGTCGGCGGATCGTGTGGGCCCAGCCGTTTAAGCACAGCCTCGAGCTCGCGCCTCGTGATTTTGCCGTCGCCGTCGCGATCGAAGACACTGAATAGGTCGTCGACGGCGATGGGTAGAACGGATTTCGGGGTCAGGGTTTCTTCCGAGGAAGAGGCGGTAGCGATGGATCCGAAGGAGGGGGATTCGATCCGGGCTCTTTTCTTCGATTTAGAGATCTTTGAGAAGAAGGATCCAATTTTGATGAGCTTCATCACTTTGATGAGATGAGAAAGATAAGAAGGGAAAAGTGAAGGCGAAGAACAAGAAGAAAAGCTTTGGTAATTGCAGAGAGAGAGGGAGGAGGTGGGGGAATTAAAGGGCGTGAGGGGAAGTTCGGCGGTGAGCTTCGAGGAAGCTTCGCAGGAGAAGGATTTTTTAATTTTTATTATTACTATTTATTGTATTAATACTATGCTCAGCTTTTCCGGTGATCTGTTGGGAAATTTTATTATCGAGAATTGACCGTTGGATAAATTTCCAAAAAAAAAATTAGCCGTTGGGTTTAATTACTTGCTTTACTGGACTTTCCCGTTGAGCTTCTAATTGTGTGAAAATCTTTTGCGCGTACGTTATTAGCTGTACTGAATCCGTAATATTTATTTTTTTGAAAAATATTAATCCGTAATTGACTCCATATTTGACATTACTTAGTTTATGTAAATATTTGAATAGATGATAAATAATTTATAGAAGTGGAGCATGGGTTTTATATCTTAATTTTTGACAAGAAATATTGCATGCACAAAAAAGTTATAAAATACGAGAATTGTTTAAGCGAAAACTCGTAAAATAGAAAAATCATAGAGAATTCCCTAACGACAAAAATATACTATTGAGTAGAAAATACAAAAATTATTCCTTCATCACAATTGAAAAAATGGGAGTAATTATAATACATTTTTTCATTTTCCTTTCTAGGGGTTATAGAAGTCATGTTTATAAACGAACAGTTAAAACATAATAGTAGGATTAAATATTGGTAGAAGTTTGACGATGGGGTTGGAAATTGCTGGTGTCGGTCGTCGATGGTAATAGTCGTAAAATACATTAGAGTTATTTAAATATCTCAGCTCTTCAACCTTTCCCTTTATAGAGAATGGAGCTCTATTTATAGATTTTATGATATGGGCATTTTGATAAATTTCATTTGAATTCAGAGTAGTCAATCATACAACTCATATTGGTCCCTTTTGAACATATATTGCTTACCAAATGTCTAACTGCCTTAATGATGTCAGATCGAGTGATATTGGTTTCATTAGATTGGTTTTGTTGAGTTACTTTATTTGATTATAAGCATGCTAAAATTGGTTGTTGTTGTTTTATCTATAAATTAGTGTTAAAATTTTTTCAAAATTAATTTAAGTGCATGATTTGAGCTCATCGGTAGTCGGATCCGATTATTTGTAGTGTTGATAGATTCATCTCATTGAGACGTTCAGTTCGACTATAAGTTTGTTAAAATCAGAGGTCAAATGATCCTGGATTTAATTCTAAAAGTTTATGATTCAAAGATTACCTAGAGATTCATGCATAACATGCGAATTTTTTGATGGTGTATCAAGTAAGATTTAAATATTAAAAAAAAAAAAAAAGAATTGCATGGCATGAAAATTGGATTTGTTGATGGTCGAGAATATGAGAGGGTGATGATATGAATAGTTAAAATTGTGGGGAGCAGACATCATCCTTGGTCGATAGTAATGATGAGAAGCTATTTCAAAAAATTAGTAACCACGTGCATTGACAGGCTATTGATGGTTGAAATATGGTGATAATAATTACAAATAAAGGTTAATATGAGTGGCGATAAATCGGGTGCATTGGTCGTTTGAGGATGAGCAGCAATGGTTGTCTGCTTCAATCAATGGCAGCAACATACATTAGCACTGGTTGATAATTATAACGGTCATTCATTTTAAAAAATAAGCCATAAAGGTGTCTAAAGTCAATCAATGGTGGTCGCGGGATAATGAACAACAATGATAATTGGTTTCAGTCTGCAGTGCTCCAACACGACGCTATAGAGCCACATGCTCATGCCATAGTCCTTATTGAACACAATAGCCAAACTCAAGCCGAACAGGTGATTGGCTAATCTAGATTGCTAACTTATGTCGACTTACTTGACAAGCCCCTAAATAAACCACCAACTTATCGAAGTCGTTGGGTTGCTAAAGGAAGCCAACTTATTTCAGTCGCTCAAGAAATCACTGATTTGCTAAGGAAGCCATACACTTGATAGATCATACTCTCCAATCAAGATCAGATAATTTATAAGTTTGGCGAGTTCCTTTTGAGCAGATGCCAACTTGACCAACTTAACATGAAAGGAGCTGACTTGGCTTAACTTGATTTTTTAGATAATTAATTGCGCACACTTGAAAACTAGCCATCACCTGAGTACAATACGACAGCATCTAAGAGAAGTTGTTCAACCTATGTCTCACAAGGCTCGATTATATGATATAATTGATTTCTCAATAGGCTTGTATGCTTTAGGGCACAATTTAAACAATTCAATTTAGTTAATTATATTATACTTGATTCTACATATATTTATTACTTCAAAATATATAAAAACATATTTAAATTAAGAAACAATTTAAATTCTTTTAAACATTTCGTTGGACCGGTCGGGTTCGTCGACCATATCTACCTACGGTTGGTCGACAAATCGATTTTGCGACCGATTCAGATTTAAAATATTGCATTAGTTTTACCCAAAAAACAAAATATTGATTAGAGCAACTCAAAAATCAGCCAGCGCATTGCCCGTGGGGCCCGCACTTGCCACCTATTGAATCCTTTTGGGAATCGCTGCAAGCCCATTCCACCGTCTTTTTCTTCAAAATAAGGGCGAAAATAATATTTAAATAAGGTGGAATGAGAAAATAAAGGCAGGCAACGTACTTATGCTGTAAGAATTATTAAAATGTTTAACTATATAGGAAGAGCATAAGAATATTCTGCTGGTGACCCAATTTCCAAATTATAAATTAAAATTAACATCATATTACATAAATACATATTTATATATCTAACATCTAAAATTTTAATATTACATATAAGATGGTATAAATGTAATATTAAAATTTTGAGTGATGGATATATAAATAGAATGGTATAAAGTGGTATATATGTAAATTTCCATATATATATATATATATAAAGTATAAATGTCTCGTGCCTCTTAGTTGAAGAAATAATTTAAAATTTATTTCAGACTAAAATATCATTATTTTTTTATCATAGATTACTTATTCAAACTTTATTGTGAATGATAATGAATTTGTTCAAGTAATACTAAATCATATTCAACAAGATCTCAATAATATGAGAACTATTTTTTATTAGTATTCATACAAGGTCGGATTCATGTTTGAATAAGATGTATCTGCTATAAGTATAATAGGCTCCAATCACAATAATTAGAATAGTAAACTATATGATAGATACAACATAGTGTAATCCAGCATAATTGAGAGCAATCATAATAGTTGTGATAGTTAAGATTATAAAATAATCCAATAATTATATCACTTTAGATTGCAACCACAACGATTATGGCAAAACTCAATTCAAATAAATAGTTTGAAAAGAAATGAGATCAATTGAACAAAAGATTTTTATAATAGATGTTTGTGTAAAACTGTACTTAGTCAAACAACTCAAATGATTCAATTCCAAAGAGGTAATGAGAGCAAAACAAAATAAGCAATTTTTGAATCATCTTCTAAATATGATAGAACCAAGATTAAATCATCTTTGAACTATGAAAGAACCAACTTCGAACTATGATTGAATCATTTTTAAACTATCTTTTAAGATGGTTCGATCATGCTCGAAGATGATTCAATTTGTTGGGGGCAGTAAAACCACATAGCAAAACAAATAAGAAATAGAAAATGCAAACAAAAAAGAAAGAACACTAGGAATTAATGTGGATAAACCTAAAACTAGGAAAAAATGACTGAGCCACACCACACCAAGAGGTTCACTATAAAAATTTGGGAGAAATAGTATATATATCACTTCTTTCTCACTCTCTCCTTACTTTTCTTCTCTTTTGCACCATTCTCAACTTTAAACTAACCAAGAGATACATAACAACTACCAAGGGACACACATTTTAATGAAAAATAAGAAAGAAAAATACTTTGTTCGCCTTGCAGCACCGCGGTGATAAGTTTGAGCGCTATGACGCTCAATTCTCCATCTCTTGTTTAAATGACACCTTCGTAGCACCGAGGTCTGGAGATCCATAATGCTCCCTAGTAGTGCTGAGGTTTAAAGTATCGTAGCTCTCTCTATCGTTTTCCACCAAAATATGCAGCACTGGGTGCTCTGGTAAACAATGTCGGGTGCTCAAGTACATAGTGTTGGGCGCTCGGGTACATAATGCCTAGTGCTCATGTACAACTGTACAAGTATCAGGGCCCTATATGAAAAAAAAAATATTTGCACCCGAATCCAAGTAGGGGGAGAACCCCTTACAATCCCCCAACAAACCTAACAGACTGAATGAAGGTTCGAGGCAACAATACGACACAATCCGATTCCACACAAAACTAACATTACATTAAAGATAATTTGGTCATGATTTGAAGATGATTTGTGGAAGGTATTATGATGTATACCAACATTCTTAGTTTAGGCTTTAGAGTTCACAATACATTCAAACTTAAGCAACCAAACATTTAATATCACAAATATTGAACAAATGATAAATGGAGATATCGTGTTTATGAAACTCTTGCAGCAACCTAAACACATAAGTTTAATAATCAATGGATACAAAGAAAGTGTTTGGAAGAGGTTGGGTCGAGGAGCTCCTATGATTAAAAGGAAGTGTAATGGCTCAATAAGGGTTTCAACAAGTAATTGACATACATGCTCTACACTCATTTTTTTTAAATTAAAAATACTTTT